GGAATGCTTCTTTGTTCTGTTTCTTAGTTGTGCTTTTTTGTCATTTTAGTGCCTTTATAGTTTTTTGGGGTGTGAATAAAGTCTTGTTTATTTTACCGAGTCGAATTTTTAATTTTAGACTTTTAGTTAAAATTTTTTATAAAATGTCAGATTTAACTTTTTATATTATAATTAAAAGTTTTCAAAAATATCATATCACAGTTCTTATTTTTAAAAAATGTTTTAATAGAAAACTCAGAGTAATTTTAAGAAAATTGTAGAAAATTATAGATTTATAAAACTAAATTAAGTAAATAGTAAAATTTAAAATTATTCAAAGTAAATAAAAATTTGCCATGTAAATGATTATTTACGATTGGTAAAAAATGATTTACCTAGTAATAAAAAATAATTTACCTAGTAAAAAATCTCTATTTACGTGAAAAAAAAATTTTAGTAGTAAAAAGAAAATTTACTTTAAAAAAAATCTTTTTTCTTGTTGTAAATGAAAATTTGCATGATAAATTACTATTTACTTCAAATAATTTTAAATTTATTATTTACTTCAATTATTTTCTACAAATATACTTTTTACTTCATTCTCTCGTAATTTTATTGTTATGTTTTTAGGACAATTATTATCAATTTACTATCTTTTAAAGCTTAGAAAAAAAATCATAAAAAGCAACCATCCACGATTCATATTTCTTATTTCATAATTTTTGACATGAATTCATGGTCATACAAAAGTAACTTAATACAACAAAGTAACAAACATAGGGATGGTTAATAATCTTAATACTCACAACCCGTGTAATTTTCATTGGTAAGGCGAGAGCTTAAAAAGTATATTCCAAAACATAATTAATAAAATCCCATTATATATGCAATGCACAGGAAAATGATCGAAAAAACTAATAAGAGAAAAGTCAGAGAAAGATAGAAAGAAATAAAGCAAAACCAGGAAGTTCTATTAATCAGGCTCCGTTCTCTGAATTATCGACAATCCATTCATGTTCCTTTCAAGCAAAAAGCTAAAGTAGCTAAATTTATGCTATAACATTATCTTAATAGTATATTTGTACAAAATAATTGAAGTAAATAGTAAATTTTAAAATTATTTGAACTAAATAGTAATTTATCATGTAGATTTTCATTTACAACTAGAAAAAAGATTTTTTTCAAGTAAATTTTCTTTTTACTAAATTTTTTTTCACGTAAATATAAATTTTTTACTAGGTAAATTATTTTTTACCAGTCGTAAATAATCATTTACATGGAAACTGCTATTTATTTTAAATAGTTTTAAAATTTACTAATTACTTAATTTAATTTCATATATAGTGCCTTGAAATCACGACATAAACAATAGTTATCTAGTTAGAACTCAAACATGGTTAATCATTCTATGAGAATGTTGTTATATGAATTCGTTTGTTCTGCATACATAAGTTGTATAAAATCGTTTGTCTGCGGACATTTTTATTTTTGATGTGATGTTGATAAGATTTAAAAAAACAAAAGAGGTTTTAATATTAATACTAAAAAGCTGGCCAAATGCAATAAAAGGGCATAACTCACATGTTATGCATAACTGAAGGAACACCTCATAGCAACACAAAAGCCAAACGCAAACTGCCAAGGAACAATCCATCCATCATTCAGTGGTTGGTAGGGGCACGGCTTCTATCATTTACATAAAAAGAGAAACAGTAAAATAAAAAAGAGTAAATTAGCAGGAGCCTTTCGCAGTAAAGATATTTGACATTACGTATTTCTATACATGTTAAATATGATCAAAATCAAATTCAAATAGAAAAATATGCAAAATTAATAGAACCCTTATAAAATTTTGACGATTTAAAGCGCAATTCCGTTTGGTACTTAGATTCGTTTTCTGATTCGAATTATAATTCATAATTCGCTATAATATTTTTTCTCATAAAAAAATACACGTAAATTAAAAATAATTCTAATCACATAATTTAAATTTTAGATTCGTTTTCTGATTCGAATTATAATTCATAATTCGCTATAATATTTTTTCTTATAAAAAAATACACGTAAATTAAAAATAATTCTAATCACATAATTTAAATCTATAAAATTACCGTGACAGAATGAGATCCTTATAAAATTGAACAAGAATCACAATCAACCTCATTTTCACATCACTTCTCACCTCATCCTCTACAAACAAGCACCGTCACTTGGTTATCATGTTGTTTTGCCCCCAAGTGGGTAGCAAAGTAGAAAAGACGTTGACGTCGTTTGTTTGATTTGATAATATATTATAGTGAGGCGTCCCTCACTTAGCTCAAAGGCCACCCAGCCAGCTATTAGGTGCGTTTAGTGTTCATTTTAAAATAATTTTATTTTTTATATAAAAAAATAAAAATATTTTTAATTATAGATATAAAAATAAAAAATTATTTTTTATTTTTTTTTATTTTATACTAAAATAAAAAATTATTTTTTTTTATTTTTAATTTTATCAAACGTCGTTTTAAAATTTTATTTATTTTTTTATTTTCAAAAAATGTAAAAAACAAAAACAAAAACAAAAACAATAATGACCACAAGCGTCCCTCATGTTCCCAGCCCAACTCATTTCTTTCATTTTTAAAAAAAATTATTTTAATTAATTTATTGTTGTTTTGTCAACAAAACTCACTTCGGCTCCTGCCCAAATCACTTATCATTAGTTACTTCATTAGAGGGGGCATGGCTTGTTCAAGACCAAGACCACCTAATTGGATCATTTGCAAGCAAAAAAACAATTACTGTTATCATGAGTATTGCTGTTATCATGTTAAGCCAAATTTATTTGGCGTGGAAGTAAAGAATTGTAAGGGGCTAGTTATTAGCTCAAAGAAAAGGAAAGGGCCGTCGGGTATCGGTGGCGGCGACCGGCGGTGGCGGCCGGTGAGAGAGGCGGAAAGTGCGGTTTCCGAGGAAGACAGGAGCTTTGTGGAGGCTTTAAGGGAAGCTCAGCCCTACATTTTTGCACACATTGGCCGTACATTTGTTGTGGTTTTGTCTGCCGAGATTGTTGCCGGTCCTTGCTTGGATTCCATTCTCAAGGTAACGCCTAATTAAACAACTTTTTCTCTCTCTCTCTCCATGATTTTGATCTCCACAGACGCAGATCAAGACAAGTGTTTTTTAGGTGTAAAGCACTATATGAACGGAAGAAAAGAAAGTGCAAATTCAAGCTTTATTGAAGGATTAATCTTTAAACCTCTTTAGTTATGCTGATTAGGAGTTAAACCTTTCTATTTATTGAAACTAATTCGGTATATAATTTAGCCAAAAAAGAGAAACTTGCAAAAAGTGAGTAAAGGGGATGCTAAGTGTAGCATAATTAAGATCATATAATTTTTTCGTTTTCCCGTTTCCAACTGCAATTTTGCCTGGTAAACGAAAGAACCAAGCAATCAGGAAAAAAGAAAAAAGAAAAAAAAAAAAAACCGAAAGAACCAAGTAATTTTCTCTGAAGATCAAATGTCGTTTTTTGATATTTGTTAAGACCTTTTCACCTAACCAACACCCAATTTGCAGACGTCCCACCCAACTTCAAGTGTTTATAAATCTCTCTGATTTTTTTGTTTTTTGTTTTGTGTGCGCGCTTTTTGTTCTTTTTTTTTTGTTTTTGTTTTTTTGTTGTTTTTTTTTGCTAAGAAGTTACAAGAAAATGTATGTGGCGCCAGCAAAATGGGTTTGAAGCTCTATAAAACGTAACTGAAAGTGATAACACAAATTCATTACTCCATAATAACTCTAAAATAATAATAATAATAATAATAAAATACATGAAAATATCAGCTTACGTCAACTAAAGCCGCACTTAGAGACAAGTCAAAAGCACAGAAACAACGGTCCGTTTGCTAACATTTTTAAAAAGATTTTATTTTCAATACAAAAATAAATATGAGATTGTTTTGATAATGAGACTATTTTGAAATTATATTTTTTTAAAAGATTATTTTAAATATAATAAAAAATAAAATCATATTTGATTGTAATTATTAATTAATATATTATAGTATTATTGATAAATACTAGAAAATAAAAATAGAAAAAAGAAAATAACTTTTAATTATTTTTTAAATTATTCATAAAAATTATTTTTACTGCCTTTTGTTTTCATTTTTATTTTAAAAATATTTATTAAATAAATATAATTTACAAACTATTTTTATTTTTATGCCTCTAAGACATAAAAAATTTTAAAAAACAAGTAAAAATTAATTCCGTGCCAAACACTTCTTAGAAAAGGTAGGTCCCACATGTTTCAAGTAAAAAAACAACACAAAAAAAGGAAAACAAAAAAGGTTGGTCTCACGTTTCCCCCTCCCCGCAGCCGCCGTGACTAAAGACCC